ATATATATATATATATATACACATATGTATATGTAAGTGTATGGGGGGACAATATTTTTGTGTTGCTTTTCTCCCTGTTCTTTTCTCCAGCACGTTTTTCACTTTATTTGTTTGCTGATTTGATCAAGATCAATTTGTGATATCCCCAAATTTGGAGAGCTTTTTAAGTGTTTCTGTTCCTTTTCCTTCCCTTCTGTCTTTGTGGGGACATGCTCAGCCTGGTGGTGTTCTAATGACATAAAGTTTAATGTTCCAGTGGCTGGTGAGAGTCAAACAGAAGTATTGATCTGTGTGAGTAGGTTTCCTGTAAACGTCAATGTTGATGCTTCCATCATCTCTGTCCATGTTCACCGAACAGTCCAGAAGACAGAAGGTAGCTTGTTGTCGTTGGTATCCTCTCATCCTCTCAGGTAAATTGATGGTGTTGTCCACAGACTCGATGTTCATTCAAACTTTATTTAGACAGGTTAATCCCTTTGAGCCTCGGGGACTCCTTTACAAGAGAGACCTGATTTCTTAACAAAGAGTGATGACAACAATGGATAACAACAACATGTGACAGTCATAAAATAGGCAGAGGCATACAAATTTAAATCTTTTTTTTTGTTTTTTTTTGTGATGTCTGCTGAATGCTTCTACTTATTTCACATGGATTTTGACTCAAGTGTCATCCACATAAAAAGCTTCCCAGATGGGAAGTGAAGCATCTTCAGCTTCAGAATAGAAGTCCAGCTGTTTTAACTTTAGATTTCATCAAGGAATTTGGTTACTAGTGGCACGGTGGCTCAGTTGGTAGAGCTGCTGCTTATCAGCAAGAAGGACGTTGGATCGAATCCCAGCCAAGGGCGCCATTCTGGGTGGAGTTTGTATGTTCTCTCCGTGCATGCATGGCTATAGGCACCAGTGATCCCCCGCAATCCTAAAAGGAAGAAACGGGTGAAAGATAATGGATGGATGAATTTGGTGACTACAAACAAAGGGAAAGAAACTCTGACCACTCGACCACTGAGTTGTCTTTACTTTTGACTTACCTTGGTGCATTTTCATTTTTGATTGCAACATCTTTGCATTTAAGAATTTAAAGTGATTCTATCTCTCTGCTGAGCAGGCGAACCCATCAACGTCTCAATTGAGATCAACAATCGTTCAAGTCGTTCAGTGAAACCCAAATTTGAGCTGTATGAGAAGAGGAGCTTCTTCGCCCAGGGTCGGAGGAAACTTGAGACAAATAAGCTCTTGAAGGGAAAAGATAATGACGTGGATTCATTTTCTGGAAAAAAGACTGTGACAATGACGATCCCCGTCCCAGCACTGCTTCCGTCCATGTTGAACTGCTCCATCATTAAGGTGGAGTACAGGCTGAAGGTAAGCATCATAGTGAAAACTTAATGGTTGTTTCAGTTCTATAATGAAAGTAAAAGTTTTTTTTTTTTTTTGTGGCTTGTGGAAAAAGTTTTAAACGTAGCAATCAAATTATTTTTACTGGCAGACACAAACACTAAAGAATCTAAACAAATTGGACTCATGGAAATCTCATAGCTATAGGAGACCTCTAGTGACAAAACAAAGCAATAATACACATTACATTGCCAACTTCTACAACTAAAAATCTCAAATTCTTTAAAAAACAAAATGTAAAAACAGTATTTACTTACATAACTATATTGTTTTCTTTCACAGATATACCTAGAAGTCAAATGTGCAGCAAACCCACAAGTGAAATTTCCTATTGTCATCCTACAAGACAAGAGAGCTGAAAGACAGCTACCGCCTTTAGATACTTTTGGATCTGAAGCTTTTGGAAACACAAACCATCCAACTTGGAGCACCACGCCACAAGCCATGGATCCCCCTCCTTCATATGAAGAATCGGCAATGCACCCCCCCATTCCACCTGCAGAATTTAAGACGGCATTGTGAATTTCTGTTTCAGGCGGGAAAGTCAGAATTTCCACATCCATCCCTACAACCTGCTGTATGCGTCTTCTTTCTTACCTCAACATAATCTGTGCTGTGATGAGAAGTTGTTGCGTGTTTCACCCAGAAAACAACCGGACCATCAACAGTGTGGAGTTTGAAAAGTTTTACCAAACAGCTCTCAGCCAGCAGCCATCTTGTCTTTGTTTATCTCCAAGTAAATGAAGCGAACAAGAAATCTCACTCTTCAGACTTTGTTTAAAGTTTTGTTTGCAGTCTAAGGTATTAAACATTGAGGGCTTAAGTTCCCCTTGTCATAGTCGAGAACACATGTTCTGGCAGAGGTGGGTGTTTTCTAATTGACCTACCACCTCCACAAGGAGGTGCAGAGCTGCACTATGAGAACCAGGTGTCACTCAAAGGCAGTCTGGTCAACAGTTGCTGAAACCAGCTCTACAGGATGTTGCACAATCACAGGCTGGAGTCAAGCTGCACTTTTCTGTGATCAGCGAATAGGATGAGTAGGTAAACACGCTGGCACTGATGCAACCTCAACGCAGGTCTTATTCCATGTCACCAGAGAAGTTGTTAACAAACCACATGGGAGACGAGACACACTGAAGATCTGTTTTAAATGTCTGATCAAGAAAGCTCATCAGAGACTACTTCCTCAGACGACTGAGGCGAGCTGGTCTGGGAAGCTCAGTCCTCACCTCCTTCTGCAGGTGTGCAGTGGAGAGCATCCTGCTCCAGCATCAACGTGTGGCATGGAGGCTGCACAGCTGCAGAAAGAAAAGCTTTGCAGAGAGTGGTGAAGGCTGCACAGAAGTCTGTCGGAATCAGCCTCCCCACCATCACAGACATCTACACCTCCAGATGCAGGAAGAGGGCCACCTGCATCATGAAGGACCCCACTCACTCAGCACACACACTTTTTGACCCACTCCCCCCAGGAAGGAGGTTAAGGAGCATTAAGTGTAGAACCACTAGACTGAGGAACAGCTTCTACCCTGAGGCTGTTAGACTCATGAATCTCTACTAGAATAATCCCTGTGAAAAACCATATCATGTTGCTGCTGATCTGTTTCATGTTGCTGCTGATCTGTTTCAATGTTGATGTGTTCATGCGTGCACATCCACTCACACAGTCTCATGTTCATGTTTGTGCTGATGTTCAATGTTTTATGTTATGAGTGCTTAGTGTATATTTAGTTGATGTTTTTCTTAGTTCATATCTCAGATGTTATTACTGTTTTTCTTATACATTTTATTGTTGGATGTAACTGGGACCTTGTGTACATAATTTCACTCCACCACATGTACCACATGAGGTGCGAATGACAATAAAGAATCTCTGACTCTGACTCTGAAAATGGACATGCTTATGGAGTTGAAGTGGATTCCTTAATGGGTTATTAATGCCGTATGGCAGTGTGGGAATGTTCTGTATAGATTTTTGAATGATGATTTGGTGTTGCTGTCAGTAGTGTTTAATTCAGTCCAGTTTATTTATATAGAGCTGTTAGAGAAAAAACACTTTCACTTATGTTGTTTACTCAAAAAGAGCCACACTCGACAACAGGAGAAGATTTTTATTTGGAATTTTACTTGCAAGGCCAGATTTTCAGGACAGGTTACATGATTGCTACATAAATGTACACGCATGTCCAGTCACAAGAATCTGTCTCGAGCTGCATTCTCTGCTCGCTTTTATATCCTTATCAGCCTTATCAGTTCAGCTGGGTTCACACAGAGCTCAGGAGGGGTCCTTGGAGCCAGCTGTAGTCCACACCCAGCGCTCTCCATTAACCCAGACATATGGTTCGGCTTCATATATTATGGGAGACGGTTTTGATTATGTCTTGAGCTTCTTGTTCTCAGCCGTAGTAATAAAAACATCCATAACCTTTGACCAAAAATTCCCTGACAAGTGCCAAGTCATAGCAGAAGTTGTCTCTGAGCACTGTACACAAACATTCATATACAGCACCAGTTAGTAAAAGTTATCTAAGGAAGCCCACTGATTGTGTTGAATCTTCACTTTGTCACAGTCTCCCATCATGAACAAACACAAAGACAGCAGTGGAAAGGAAAACTACTTTTTAACAGGAATAAACCACCAGCAGAACAGGATCAGGACAAGCAGCCATCTTTGACCGTCTGGGGTGAGAGCGGACAGGAAGGAGAAACAAACAAACACGGCAGGTCCAGGTGTACTTTCTATTGGAGGAAAGACAAAAAAACACATGCTAGAAATAATTTTACTACATAATAAGTATTTAAAAAATAAGTGTACTGAAAAAAGGAACTTGTGCATGCACACACACACAGGCTAAACGCCCTATTATTTATTCATTTAATGTAATTTAACCTGCATCACTGCTGGCTAGAGTTACACATGGAAATGTGGCTTTTCTGTACAATAGACAGCATTTAAATACAGTTTCTTTGACCAGTTTCACCTAAATGGATTTCTATTCCCCCATCACATCAAAGTACCTTATTTTCTGGCATACTTGTTGCGCCGCCCTATAAGTCGCATCAGTCCATATTTGTCTAATAAAGTGAAAAAATCCATAAATATGTTGCGTGTCCATATAAGTTGCATCTATTATATGTCACCAATGACGCGTTGTGTTTGTTACGTGTCATTGCTGACAACGTGGAAATGTGGGCAGGTGTTGTGCCAAAAATTGATGAGCTGCCAAATGGCAGCCACAGGAGAGTGCACAGGAGGACTTTAACAAGAATTTAACAAGATTAACATTTAAAAACATTTATTTGTTTGCTCGACATTATAGTAAATGTGTGTTTCAATCTAACGCTTGCTTAATAAATGCACTTTGAGAGTCAAATCAGCTGTATTTCAAAACCCGTACGCGGAAGTAAACGCATGCACGCAATGAGTCGCTGTGCAAATTTAACAAGATAAACGCCTCAAAACAATCATTTGTTTGCTCAAAAATTATATTAAATGTGTGTCTCAGTCTATTGTTTGCTTAACAAATGCACTTTAATGTCAAATCAGCTGCATTTCTAAAATAGTTTAGCTGCTGAGGTGCTCCCGGGAGTGCGCAGGAGGAAAAGAGGAGGAACGCTACTCGTTTAATCAAAATTGAACAAGAAAAGTGCCTAAACAATTATTTGTTTGCTCGAAATTATAGCAAAGGTGTGTTTCAGTCTAACGTTTGCTTAATAAATGCACGTTAATGGTCAAATTAGCTGCTTTTCGGTGCAGCTGTTTTGACGGTTCCAAGCAAAGAGCAGAATGAAGATAAGGAGATTATGGCAGGTTGATTGAGTCATTAATAGCTGGTGAAGATTCTCAGTCATCCAGGACGCGTTAAGTTCAAAAAAGTTCTAGAAATAAAACAATAAAGTATAACGTAAAGTATAATAAATAAAGTCCAGTTGTTTTTGTCTTGAACTTTTTTGAATTGGTCATTGTAGCCACGTTTACCTATTACATGATACAACAGCATGCCAAATCTCTATTACTACTCTGCTGCCATCAAGTGGCTGAAAGTGGTACTGCTAAAAAAAATCAGTCAAAATGAATGAAAACGGTCTTATCTCAACCAAAAAAAAAAACAGTTTATAAATATGGAAACAAAATCCATAAATATGTCACTTGGGCCTATAAGTCGCAGGGCGTGTAAATTATGCAAAAAATCGTAACTTATACAACGAAAAATACGGTACCTGAATGATACGGTGTGAAACGATGATGTGGTGTCACATTGTGATGTATTCATTTTTTTTTTTTTTTTGACATCTCCCTTTTCCAGTTGTTTTACGCTGGATGCCCGTCCCAGCATAACGTGGGCTCAAACTGATAACATTAATTTGTTGACATGAAGTTTTTTTTTTTCCAGACAATGAAGTAATTGTAAAAAGGAGGCATGTGTTTCTTTTTTAACTTCGTTTCCCAGCATACACATTCTCTTTATTTAGTTTCTTTCTTTTTAAGATTCTGATCAATGTTTTATCTTGTTTCACAGAAAAATGCTTCAACCTTTAACTCCTGTAATGACTAGGTTCTCACAACCTGATGAGGTTAAATGCTAAAAAAGAAAAAGAAAAAATAAGAAGCTCGAACTCATTTTATTTGGGTCCAAGGCAAACATGAGCACACCAGGACTCATATTTAGAAAGAGATTTCTTTAAAAGAGATACTCTCTAACGACATAAGAAATTTATGTTTAAGAACATTAATTTATAGTGTTTCGATGTTTAACATATATTTTAGTGTGTATCTTAGATCCTTATATACTGCTTCTTTTATTTAAGCTTTATATTTTTGCTATTTTGGCATGTAACTGGGACCCTGAGTACATAATTTTGTTCCACCTCATGTACCACATGTGATGTGAATGACAATAAACTTGACTTGAACTTGAACTTAAACTTCAGTTTGCTTTTTAGGTTTGTCAATGTGCGTCAAATGACCCTTAACTTTGGTTCTGGAAATGTCCCTTTAAAGCCTTTATTAAGAAGATGAGATACAAATTAGTAACTAACTTGTTTGGGGGAAAGGGAATGGCATGAGACATGCAACATCACTTATAATTTGACTTACAGCCTCCATTTCTTGAAAGTCGACATGCAAAGTGTTATTTCAAGAACGGGCATAGGGAAAATTATTTGCATATTTTACTTTCATTCATGAAGGAACACTTCATCACAAACCATGTACAAACCAGTTTTTATTTATAAGCAATAGTGTCCAAAACAATAAAGTCCACAGCAAGGAAAATGTCTAATTTATAGAAATGATCAAAGTTCGAACCACCATACCCTTAGGTTTTAGTTTGGTGGAGACAGACACAAAATGTGCTGTAAAGATTTGAAACAATATCAAGCACATTCCAACCAGGTGGATGGTGTACTAACAGCCATTAACTAGTCACCAGTACGTAATTGGGTGTGGTAGTGGCTAAGAGTTTGACCCAATTTTTACTTTGAGCTCTAATTAATCACACTATGTCTATTTTAAAACTATTACAGTCAATACTGCCTTCCTTTAGCAAAACATTTATGAATCAAAATATGCATATTAGTGAAACTCTCAGAAAGTAACTATTGGATGTACCTCTAAGTGCAAAACAACTTTTATATAGGCAACATGTGATTACCATTTCTTTGAGCATTTTTTCACTAAATGCACTTCAGTTTACATTATTATTCAGCTGCACGCAAATCCATATTCTGGAACAAGGCTTATCTTTTCACATTAAATCACAATTGTACAGTTTACCTACATTGCAATGAACTTGTATAATTTAGGTTTTACATTTACATTTTATTTATAATTGTATAATTTTTCATTTTTAATATTGTTTTTGTGTGTATTTAATGTGTAAAAGTCCATTGTGTTTGTAGTAATTCTGTTCTGTTCAGATTTTCCGTTAGTCAGTAAGACCCAAGGAAGCAGACTCTCACAAGGACTCAGAAAAACCAAAGATTAAAATTAAAAATCAAACTACGTCACAGAAAATCCCACTGTGACATCTGACCAATTAGCAATGAGCCTGAGGATTTTATTTTGGAGTTTTTCTTTAGATTATGATATTGGAATTACAGGAACAGCTCTAAATTGGTTTAGATCATATTTATCTGATAGATTCCAATTTGGAAATGTAAATAATGAATCTTCATCATAAACCAAAATTAGTCAAGGAGTTCCTCAAGGCTCAGTGCTTGGACAAATACTTTTTACCTTATATATGTTTCCATTAAGGAATGTTATTAAACAGCGTGGGATAAATTTTCATTGTTATGCTGATGATACACAGTTATATTTGTCCATGAAACCCAATAAATCCAATTATCTACTTAGACTACAAGCATGTGTTAAAGACATAAAAACCTGGATGATCCTAAATTTTCTGCTTTTGAACACAGACAAGACTGAGGTTTTAGTTTTTGGACCTGAGCATTTTAGGAATACATTTTTCAGTCTTTCAACCTCCTTGAATGGCATTAATCTGGCCTCCAGCTCTAATGTAAAAAATCTTGGTGCTATTTTTGATCAGGACATGTCTTTTAACCCCACATTAAAAAATGTTACCAGAATTGACCTCTTCTTCCACCTGTGTAATATCACTAAAATTGGAAACATCTTATCTAAAAATTATGCAGAAAAACTGGTTCATGCTTTTATGACATCTAGACTTTCCTTTTTGATAAATCCTATAGTTAGGGTCGACTTGTTATGCTGCCTTAAACTTAGATTACTAGAAGACACATTGACCTAATTTCTTAAATGAATTGTTAAAATTGAATAGGTTTCATTTGATATTATTTCTATCTTAACATGTGATTCTTGACCTGCCAATGTGTATCTGTTCCTCCTTCCTGTTCCTCTCAAACCCAGCCGGTTGAGCAGATGGACGCTTGTCCTGAGTCTGGTTCAGTTAAAGGTTTCTTCCACATGAGGGAGTTTTTCTTTTCCATTGTCGCCTTCATGCTTGCTCAAAATGAATTCAGTGATGGAGTTAAATTCAAAGCAGTCTGCTCCTCAGATAAATAAAATATTTAATTGTTCGTTTGTCTGGTTTAAAGCTGAAACATATGGAAAACGTTTACTTAAAAAGATGTATCTTCAGCTTATTTTTGTGAAAAACAAATGTATTTTATGTTGTGTGTGTGTGTGTGTGTGTGTGTGTGTGTGTGTTTGCTTGTTTTCTTCTTTTCTCCCTTTTGTTTCTCATTGAAACGGGCAAGGATATGTGGAAACTTGTTGTTTTGTTTGTTTGTTTTCCAAAACAGCAGCTTGAAAGTTACTAATAATAAAAATAAACGAGAAATAACTTATCTTGTCAACCTCTTCCCTCACTTATCACGGTTTAATGTTTTAAATCAGGTGTCATTTCTGTTGAACTATATATGAAAACATTAAAAAAAAAAAGAAAGTATTTGCTTAAATGTGTTATGTCAATGTGAAAAACAATTTGTTGTTTACAGTAATGTTCAAAATATTGTTGTTATTCTTGGCTGCTCAGAGCTTTGGCATGCCAACGTGCTGGTTTGAGCTTAAATGCTTTGACTAGCAAACATGTGGACCTTTTCATCATCAGATATAATACAAGAAAAACTGGTTTCTGAAGAATAGCAAGCATAGAACTGCTCCAGAGCAGGTGTGCAGGGTTCAGACGGTGTGTGTGCTCCTGCTCGGTTTGTGCTCGTTGCTCTGCCGAACATGACAATCAAGAACTTTCAAATTGAATACGACGCCATCAACATCAGGAATACGTTTACAAATGGAGATACCATAAATGGAAGGATCATCTTGGAAGTCGACAGGGAAACGAGGATCCGATCACTTGCTTTTAAGGCCAAAGCAAAAGCTAGTGCTTGCTGGACTCAACATTATCACGACCAAAGTGATGTTTGGTTTTCAGACGAGAAATATTACAGTATCAAACAATATATCCTGAAAGAAGCAAGAGAACGTGGTAATATATGATGCCAAAATGGGACCACGTAATTATTCTGCCTAATGTTTGGACATTTCGAATGATGAGTGTTTTCTTTTTCCCTTGCCAGGTAGTGACATCGTTGAAAAAGGACAACATGTGTTTCCTTTCAGCTTCAAGATACCCAACGGGTACGTTCACTCTTCTTTTAGTGTCATATTGGATGATTTTAAAGACTAATCATCACCTGGTTTCTGACGTTGCAGAAAAATACCATCATCTTTCTGGTCAATCTACGGCAGAATTATTCATAAACTGAAGGCAGAGCTTAAACAGCCTATGATGGTGCCAAGAAAAGCTAAAATTCATTTCATCTTTGTGTCCGAAGCAGACATGAGTATCCCAGGACTCCTGGTGAGGAAAAGTTGGAGACACTAATAAAAAGGTTACATTCTAATGGGTAAAGAAAATAACTTCCTACATTAATATAAAACTGCTGTCTGTCTTTTTAGATCCCTCAACATATGCACAAGGATAAAAGCATTGCTTTTAGTCCGGGAAATGTTACAATGGATGTTTATACTAAGAAGAAGGGATACAGACCTGGTAAATATGTGATTTGTAAAGATTAAAATAGTGAGGGAAGGCCATTACTTGGGACATTTTGATTCTTTAGCCTTGCACTAAATCTCACTCTTATTTATCTTTAACGCCTGGTTTGGAGAAAAATGATTGCACTTAATGAAGATCTACAGTATAAAACAAACTACCTAATCCTCAGTTAACTACTTGTAGTTTAAGTTTGGTGGAGTAGACAGCAAGTATTAAAAATGTTGTGGTCTTTTGAGTTTTTATCAAAACCTTTGATTTTAAACACAGTCTAACCCACGTGGAATGAAACAGCTGGACATTTGAGTTGACCCACATTATCCATAGCCTTGTGTCTTGTTTGGATTCAAATGTGCAATCGCTTGACTGTGTCTCTCCGTTGGACAGGTGAGGACGTGAGAGTCACAGTTAAAGTCAATAACTGCTCGAGACGCTCAGTCCAGCCCAACTTTGCGCTGTATGAAAAGAAGACGTTCTTCGGAGCAAATCGGAGCAAAGTTGAAACCCGTGAGATACTAAGGGCAAAAGCTGAAGCTGTGGATTCCTGCTCTGGCAAGAAAACGGTGACAAAGGTCATCACCATCCCTAAAGAGCTTCCTCCGTCCATTTTGAATTGCACCCTCGTCAAGCTTGAGTACAAGCTGAAGGCAAGTGTCTTCAGCAGAGCTAACTGCTTTAATGTATACTTCACGAACCTCCCTTTTATTCTGAAAAAAAAAAGTGTATCCAACATGTTTTTTTTAGCAAAACATCAACTGCAGAAATGACAAAGTAACTATAGCTTTTTTTTTTAAATCACAAAGCAGCAGATGCAGATGAAAACAGTATCACAGCGACCTCTAGCGATAAAATGTAGAAACTGCACGGGCTGTAAGAACCAAAAAAAAAGCACTAAGATTGGTGAAAACTGAACAAAACAGTGAAGGTGCTGTGACTATATATGATTACAACATCAGGCAAAATAAACAACAAAGATGGTGGAACAGGCACTTTGCTTCTTTCATGTCAGTAAGGTTGTGGCGCTCCTTCGTTCCCAGACACACGCAGCAATTTCATGTAAAACACAATCACAGCACTGTTGTATCGTGTCCTGCATCATCAGCTCACAGCTGTTGTAGCTGATCCTAGAAATATGACAAACTGAAAATACTGCCAGGGTCTCCCAAATCACTACCAGAGTTGACCAAAAGTTGGAACCTCTGGCTCCCCACCCATGACAGTGTAATGCAGCTGTGCCTCTCAGAAGTTTGACCGCCACACAAATGGTAATGGTACTGTGGAGTAATGGGGTAATGGGTGTTAATCTGTAATAACGCTGAACTGCAATCTATTGCTGAACATATGATGCTACTTGTCATCACTTGTCACCTGCTCTGACTGACTGTCAGTCACTCCAACAACTGTTTGAAGGTAACCATTGAGCTGCCTCTGATTCCACCACCTATGTCCTCTGGTACCCATTTTAAAGACGTCAGCTCCTTGTAAACCGAGTTACTGTCATACCTATCACTGGTCTGAACGTGTACTAAATTATGTTCATATTGGTCTATTGTGGGAGCTTAGATTACAATGGTCTAAATAAATTCATGTACGTTTTAATACCTGCATGCAAGTATAAAATTATGTCTTTTATTCACAGATCTACCTAAATATCACATGTGCATCAAACCCAGAGGTTAAATTGCCTATTATCCTCCTGCCTGATGAGTCAGCTGTATTTCTACCACCGTCCTATGACAGCTTTGGATTTGAAGCGTTTGGAAACCAACACCAGATATCCCAGCACACCACACCACAAGCTGCCAACCCTCCACCATCCTATGAAGTATTTGAAATGTACCCCCTCTTTCCATCTACAGAAAATCAGTCTGAGATCTACGGAATATCAGAATATCGATCCTCTAACATCCTATGAAGTATGTGCAACGTAACCTCCTTTCCTGCTACAGCTCATCAGACTGTAATTTAAATATCTGCTGTAAAGAACGCCGTTAAATGAGCGTGGCACTTGTTTACCAGCTCAGTTTTATTTGGCAGAGTATTCGTAGTGGGCAAAAGTTATTGTCTCCATTAATGCATTGGTAAAATCTTAAAACGTGTTGAAAGGGCCAAACCAGATCTGGTAGAGATACCACGTTAATAAGAAACCAGACTAAGCACGTCAACTCTGAGAGGAAAAATAAAAGACCATAAACCAAAGGATTAAGACCCCTTGGGAATAGTGATTTCAAGCCCATGAGGATAAATAATCATTATTTGTTTTCTTAACCATGTCACTAGAGTTGCACCTGATTAAAAAAAAAAAAAAACAACAACTAAGAAATAGTTCTCAAATGACGTACCCTCAGTAGGAGGAGCCATAAAGATGCATTATGATGTGGACAAAGCGTCAGTCAAAAGAGCTCTTGTCGCAGTTTTTGGAGGATTTGAACCAAGAATGCAGACCCAACACAAAGACCTTGAGTACAAAGAAAATGAAAACTTTATTATTAACGACAAAGCAATGAAGTCACAGCAAAACTTACATGTAATCTGATGAATTCTAGGAGGAGCGTGGAAAGCACGTGGAGCGATATGAGACTGTGGCTGCTCCCTTCTTCAGGGGTCACCACAGCGAGCTAACTCGCACAAAGACTTGGCGATTGTTTTTACGCCGGCCGGATGACCTTCGTGACGCAACCACAGACCACCGAGCTACCACAGCCCTCTGTGTGGAGCAGATGGTGGGGGTTAAGGACCTTGCTCAAGGGCCCAGAGTGGGACAAGTGAGGGTAGAAACAGTTGTCTGTGCTTCACCTTTCCCACCCACATTTTGATGTTCTCGGCCTGGGGAGTCGAACCGGCGACTTTCCAATCACAGGCTTGTCTTCTCTAACCTTTACTTCAACAAACACATTCTGTAAGTTGTTCTGCCTCAGGATACGTCTGCACTGCAACAACCTTTCCAGAAATCTGTTGTTGAACAATTAAAGGCAAATACTTCCTGTAAATATTCATTCCACGCTCAAAATGTTGGGTATGAATTCTTCAGTGTGTCAATAATGTATGCGAGACGTGAAAGTTCAGTAAAGTTTGTCTGATTTACATTAACATTAATATATCATGCGTTTGCATTTCTCTCATGTCTCGTTAGAGAGAACTAAATGTTTATATTTTAATTTATTAGGGCTTTTTTGCACATTATGTACTTTAATGTTTTAAACTGTGGTTCGTACATTTTATCAACAGAATTTATTAAAAAAAAATAAACTTGCAAACATACAAAAAATTGTGTCCCTGTTCAATTTATTTAACCTAATTTATTCTGCAACGCTCCTGGCTCGAGTTACCTGGTGGAAAGAGACACCAGCCGATTGGATCATGTGACCCTGTGTGTCACAGCTGATACGGTCATCCTTATTCATGAAAGAAAGGCCTCGCTTTAGTAGTGGGTTATTTCAAACCCATCTGCTGGAAGATTACAGAATCAAAAGTTTCTTCTTTGAACGACATTTTGGAAGCTTTTTGAAGTGGTCTCACGATGACTGTGAAGCATTTCTCAGTGGAGTACGACAGGTTGAATGAACAAGGCACCTACTCTCCCGGGGACCTACTTTCTGGAAAAGTGACCGTGGTAACCAGCAAGGAACTCAAAGTGCAGAGTTTTTTGGTCAGGGCTAAAGGAAAAGCTAAGGTCACTTGGTATGAACAGGACGGACAGACCCCAACTGTCCACAGCAACAAGAAGAAATACTTTTATTTTGAACATATAATTCTTCAGGATAAAAACAAAGGAGATGGTTTGTAGTCTAACTATTGCTGGATGATGTTTTCTTGTCTAAAACCATCTTGATGAAGATATAACGTATTATTTCCTGTAATAAGGTTCTGAAATCCTGAGACCTGGATCAAATGTGTATCCTTTCAGCTTTAAGATTCCAAACAGGTACGTATTCCTCTCTGATCGTTATTGCCCACCCCCAAAGCAAAGCAGCAACTATGCTTTTGCCTGTATTTGTGTGCGTGTGTTTGTCACCATGAGATTACGTATCACGTTATTGTGTGAATGTTTATGAAGCATTCACACTTTTGTGATCTGTTTTTCTTCCGTACATTTTTTGGCACGATTCTCGTCCAGCAGTTTTCAAGCTATTGCAACAAATTATATATCAAAACGTTCAGCTCTTTCAGAACAACCATGCTATGACTTTTGGTAGTGATGCAACTTTGGCTTTTTGAAATGCAGTATTTAGCCTTTTCTGCTATTTTGTTTCTCATAGAAAATGAATTGAACTCATTTTACATCCTTCAAAGCTTTAGATCTGTTTAAACATTTTACTGCTTCTTTCACATTTTGTTCTGGTTCAGCTTCTTTCAGCTTCCTTATACAAATGTAAACTTTTTTCAGCTACTTTCAGCTGGTTTTTTTTTAGCTGTTTTGTGCTCCTTTCTGAGACTTTTTGCTAACTACAACATTTTGTGCTTCTTGCAAACTTCTTCCTGCTAATTTCAGCTTGTTATGCTCCTTTCAGCTTATTTCTGCTTTTTCTACTATTTTAGCTACTGTATTGCTGTTTTATGCTAATTTATGCTTTTTTGGCTAATTCCATTTTTTTTTTTTTTGCACTCGTTTCAACTTTTTGCAGCCTAATTCAGCAAAAGTGTGCTCTCTCCGTGTCTTTCTGCTTTTTAGCTACTGTTAGGCTGTTTTGCTAATTTCAGCTTTTTTCAGATCATTTCCACTTTTTTGTGCTCATTTCTGTTTCTTTCAGCCTAACTGGGCAAACGTGTTCTTTATGGGTTTTATTTATGTTAATTTAACCTTTTTCTAACTTTTCAGCTACATTTTAGCTAATTTTAGCTGTTTTCAGATAAATTCAAGTTTTTCATCATAATCTTTGCTACTTTCAGCCTAATTAACTTATTTTTGCTATTTTCAGCTTTTTGTGCTCATTTCATCTTATTAATGCTAGTTTCAGTTATTTCAGATATTATTCTGCTGTTTTATGTGAATTTTAGAATTTTCAGCTAATTCCACATTTTTAGGCCCATTTCAGCTCTTTCTGCTTCCTTCTGATAGTTTAAGCGTCTCACTCTTCAGCTTTATTTTGCACATTTCAGCCTTTTTTTTTTTTAGCTAATTTTCTCATTTTTGTGCTCATTCTGCTTGAATGAATTAATTTAAACCTAATTCAGCAAATATGTGGTATTTCTGCTTTAATCTGACAAGTTAGGCTTGTTCTTCCATTTTAACAGTTTTTTTTTTTTAGCTAATTTCAGCTGTTTTTCAGCAATTTCTTCTGCAATAAGCATTCACATGGCATTTTCGCAGGAAATGCAATTTGTCTAGATATTTTTATTTCTAAAAAACAATAGAGTTGCATGCGAATGTGTCATTTCTCAACATAAGAACTTATTCTAAAACTGGTGGTGGGTGACATTTCTTGAAGGAGTGCTAGGCCTTTCATTTTTTAGAATGCATTTTGCTTCAACATGAACATTTATTATCTGATTCTGTTCTCCCAGAGACATGCCTTCATCCTATAAAGGTAAATGGGGTGAGATCACGTACAGTCTGAGAGCACATCTGACTCAGTCCATCTGGCTTGTACACAAAGCCAAAACTGAATTCCCTTTTCTGACCAAGTCCGAGTTTCCTTTTGCCTCCAAATCGGAAATGATAATCATCGGCCTTAAGGTGGGAAACCCTTTTGTTGATTCTATTTTCCACTTCCTGTCAGTATAACTGAGAAACAAACCTCTGTCTTTAAATAAAACTGCAGGAGCAACAGTCTGCAACGAGGATTTCATTTGCTGCCACTGGAAAGGTTACAATGACTGCGACCTCTGAAAAAATGGGCTTAAAGCAAGGTAAACAGGTTTCACAGATAGCATTTCTTTTTCTCTCGTCTTACTGGAAACACATTTGTTTCTCCTAAACATAACAGGTGAGGCCATGGGAGTGCTCGTGGAAGTAGTCAACGACTCTACACGTTCAGTGACACCCAAACTCTACGTGTGTGAGAAGCGGACATTTGTAGCTCAGTCGAAGAAGAGCGTACACACAAAGGACATCTTGTTTGGGACAGGAGACTCTGTTCCAGCTGAGAGCAGTCGCTCTATAACCAAAATTTTGAAAATCCCACAACATCTGCCCCCTACCTTCTTCAACTGCTGCATGATGAAGTTGGAGTACAGAATCAAGGTACTTGGGCCTATGAGGGTCAGAAATCAAGTTGTATAAATTTGCATCTTGGCATGAAAGAGTGCCAACAATGGGAAGTCATTAATACTCTGAGCAAACATGGAAAGGCAGTAAATAAAATATCTCATGAACCAATGGTCAGATTTGAATGAAACTCACACAAAGTAATCACCGTCATCAACAGCCAATTACCTTTTGCAGTCAAAGCTATTCAAAATGGCTACCATAGCTAAGTAACCTTAGCAAACACAAAAACAGCTATAAAAGTCAGCAACTTTTAAAGATATTTATCTAAGATTTGGACTGATAGCTAAGAGTCACCTCCTACTTTGAGTTCTAACTGGTTAAACAGATTGTTTGTTTGTTTTTACTTTAAGTATTAGAGCCAACTTTGTAAGTTTGTTAGCAAAATATCTCATGAAAAACTGCACATATTTAAAAAAAATTCAGAGAAACAATCATTAGGTTGATATCTATAATTTGTTCAATTTTGGTGGCCGTCACATTCAACTAACCTTAGGAAACACAAAAGAGCAATAATTTAGTCAATTTTACAAATATTAAATAAAAACTGTGGTAGTAGCTTAGCATCACTCCCAACATATTTTGAACACTGTGTAACATGTATTCTTCAAACATTGGTAATATCTATTGGTATCAACCCTGCCTGTCCATCCATCCATTATCTTTTACCTGCTTCTTCCTTTTCGGGACGTGGCGTGAGGATTTGAACTGGGGCGACCTGCTCACTGAGAGGTAGCAGCTCTACCAACTGTGCCACCGTGCTGCCCACCCTGCCTGTCAGTTATCAAAATATCCATCCATCCATTATCTTTACCCGCTTGTTCCATTTTGCGTCACGGGGGTCGCTGGTGCCCATGTCCAGCAATCACTGTGCGAGGGGCGGGGTACACCCTGGACAGGTCGCAAGTCCATCACAGGGCCACATAGAGACAAACGAGACAATCAACCATTCACTCTCTCACTCACACCTAGGGACAATTTTAGAGTTACCAATCAGCCTAACATGCATGTTTTTGGTCTGTGGGAGGAAACCGGAGTACCCGGAGAAAACCCACGCATTCACGGAGAGAACATGCAAACTCCACCCAGAAAGGCCCCTGGACCGGGGTTTGAACCAAGGACCTGCTCACTGAGAGGCAGCAGCTCTACCAGTTGTGCCACCATGCTGCCCTTAGCAAAATATGTTATGAATCAATGAACAGTTGCTAATGAAACTCTCAGTAAGTAATCTTCTCGTTCTTCTTCTTTCAGCTTTTCCCTCTTCAGGGGTCACCACAGCGAATCATCCTCCTCCATCTCATCTTGTCCTCTGCATCCTCTGTCCTCACTCCAACTACCTCCATATCCTCTCTAACTTCATCCTTCATATATGTCCTCTTTGTCTTTTTCGTGGCAGCTGCATGTCTAGCATTCTTCCACCAATATACCCACTGTCTCTCCTCTGGATGTCCAAACCATCTCAGTCTGGCCTCTGTAACTATCTCCCAGTTGTTCAACCTGTGCTGTACCTGATGATTTTATTCCTAATCTTATCCATCCTTGTCAGTCCTAAGAAGAACCTCATCTTCATTTCTACAACTTCCAGTTCTTCCTCCTGTCTTTTTGCCAATGTCACTGTCTCCAGACCGTACACTATAGCTGGTCTCACAACTGTCTTGTAAACTTTTCCTTTTCCCCTTTTGTCACGTATCACTCCTGAAACTTTTCTTCAAGTACCGTGCTTTGATAAGATAGAAAGGTGCCATTTTAACTACAGTTCATTTAACATTTACAAGGAAGTCGACCTGCATACTCCTTCCTCCACTCTTATAGGTCACTCTATGTTCCTCCCTCTTTTGAAAAAAAAAATGTTGACTACAACAATTTCCATTCTCTTGGCTATATCCACGGCCATCTGGTCTTCCTGGTTTCTTGCCTTGACACTAAACCTACCCATCACTTCCTCATCTCCCATTTCCTTCACTAAGATGTCCATTCAGGTCTGCTCCTATCACCACTCTCTCCTCCCTGGGAATACTCTTTATCACTTAATCTAGATCCTTCCAAAATGAATCTTTCTCCTCCACATCACATCCAACCAGTGGAGCATAATCACTGATAACATTTAGCATCAGACCTTCTACTGCTACTTTCAGACACATCACCCTATCTGACACTCTTTTCACCTCTACTACATTCTTTGCCAACTCCACCATCATGACTACTCCATTTCTCTTTCTATGTTCCTGTAAAGTGCACTGAGACAACTTTGTTGTGATTTGGCACTATATAAATAAACTGAATTGAATGAATTGAAATCCACACCAGGGTAAAACAGTTTGAACCCTGCTCCAATGCTGAAAGCCTTGCTGCTCTTCCACTTGGTCTCTTGGACACATAAAACATCTACCTTCCTTCTCTGCATCATGTCAGCCAGCTCTCTACCTTTGCCTGTCATTGTCCCCACATTTAGAGGTGCAATCCGTACATTCTTGACTTTCCTCTTCTCCTTCTATCTCCTGGCAAACTTCCCTCCTCGTGGTCTTCGACTAACAGCAGCACAATTTCCGCCAGCACCCTGTTTGGCAACAGCACTGGTAGCAGTTGTTGTTAACCCGGGTCTCGACCGATCCATTATGGTTTCGCTTTGATGAACTAACATTGTAGTTTTGGCCGCCTCAACTAATCAACAATAGCCTATGCAAAAATGGCTTCAGCTCTGTCAGTTTGACAAATATTGAGCTAAGTTGTGTGTGGTAGTAGCAGTTGATTGTTAGCTAACACATCTCAAGATCACAATCAAGGTCATTGATGAGGTTTGCCCCAAATAGCTATAACTCAGTCTCTTCTCATCCGAAAACTCTGGGATGAAAGGCAGCAGGTGATATGCATTACTTCAAGGAATGCTGCTGGGCCTCTAATTTAGGTAAATGAGTTATTTTTTACAAATTAAAGGCTTATTAAGTACTTGTATGAAGAAAACAGCACCACACTGTGGCTGCAGGAGAACGAGATAGAAAGATTAAGGGGGAAGAGTAAAAGCCTCATGGCTTGACCAGGAAAAGGGTTCAGATTACAGCTCAACCTGTTCCATCATGCCATCCACTCCAAAACATTTTGTCTAGGAGCTTTCAGTGGACCCAGCTGTTTGTTAAGAAATACAGTAAAGCACACTGATTTAACGTATAGTCTGATCTAAATACTGATCTAAATACTAGGAGTATGACCTATGTATATATGTATAAACATGAGTAAAGACCTGAAATAAATGTTTTTGTTCCTTCAACAGGTCACACTTGACGTTCCTCTGGTGAAGGACCAAGAAATCAAACTCCCTCTAGTCATCCTGAAGGGTTCACCGAAACCTCCTCAACAAAAACCAAAGAGATCTATCTGGTTCCGAAAACTCCCGGGATAAGGAGACATGCTTTACTATACTGTGTATATAAATATATGACAGTCAGAAAGCAACAGGGTTTTAATTTTAATTTAGAAAGCACAAGCAACTACTTGCCTGTTTCTTTTATCTGCGTTAAATAAAGGACATTTTTAGAGGTGGTTTAGATCTCGGAGGTCTTCAAGCATCATTTGTGTGTACACATGCCCACTAGGTGGAGGTGTGAGCAAGAGAAGCGCCTAAGCATTTTAAATTAATGAAAGACAAAATGCTTTCTGTAATCAAAGTGTATAAATAGTGCAAGATTTGTGAAGATTTTGGGGTTAAAGCCTTAGTTTTATACTCATTGGTTGTTGAGTTTTGTAGAATTTTCAGCAGTTTTACTTTGCAAAGTCTTTTTCATAGTTGCAAATAATTGCGGCAAATGAAACGGACTATAAACCAATTGTATGTAGGAGAAGAGAAACACAATGCGCCAGAGAACTGAACGTTAGATATCAGGAGGGGTGGAGGTGGTTCTCATGCTCATCCCTGTCTGAGCGGTCATATTGCAACAGAGGAAAGTATTCAACAAAAGGCTCGTTCAAGATTCTGACAGTACATGTGTTAGCCAAGCAGCTGGTAAGTGGAACCAGGCCCATGTTCCTGAAAGAGACTCTGAGATCTTTCCTTGCTGGAGCGGAGGAACACTGAGCTCTTCGTGGTTGGGATCTGTCCTAGAAACAATGTGTTTGACTCTTGTGGCACTACAATACCCAAATAGGTACAGAGGAGTGTTTGGTTTTGGCTCACCTCAAATGGGGGCTTTTCAAATTTCACCAAAAAGAGGCAACACTGTGGTAAAATAAAGAAATTGCATAGTTGTTTACACATGTGAAGAGAAGACAACGCTCTCCCTGGGCACATGTTCTGGCATCTAGATTAAAAGTTTGGATCTTCATAGAAAAAGATGTACATGAATGTGTGCCCAAACTTTTGATTTGTGCTGTAAATAGCATATAAATCTGCATCTAGTCCTATTTAGTCTGCCTGAGGACACCTGCAGCGTCTTGGTGGAAGTGATGTTGGGGTAAACTGAGCACGGTGTGACAGATTACTTTAATTCCAGCAGCAACACCTGCACGAAGATGCGTCCGGAACAAAACTCGTGTTCAGCTCTTCTGGCCTCCGCTGTGTGCTGCAGCAGCAGAGCCTGCCTGGTAACCAGAGTGTCTGAGTGCAGCAAACATGCAGTCAGCCAGCTTCTTACATGCACACGCCCGCGCGCACGCACACACACACACACACACACACACGGTACAACATCATACCAGAACCCTCTTTGGTTTTGGAGAGTAGAGTAGGGAGGTGTGGCCTCTGGCACCTCCTATCTCCGTAGCCAGAGAGAGTACCATGACAACCATGTGGGCCTGCTGGCGACTCCCTGTCTTCATCGGCCACGGTTGCCATGGAAACTCCCCACGGGGCTCCCGCAGATCAGCGGGATGGGCGTCCAGTTGACTAACCCTCTCCCAGCTGGGGAACGGCTGAGGGAGTGCTGGAGAGGGAAAGGGAGGGGAGGGATGTGTGTGTGTGTGTGCGTGTGTGTGTGTGTGTGTGTGTGTGTGTGTGTGTGTGTGTGTGTGTGGTGGTGGTTGGGGGGGGGTAGAATGGTACAGCAGAGCTTGAGGAGGGAGAATGATAGAGCGATAGAGAGCTAAAGAAGGAGAAAGACCTTGTAGATGGGTAGTCTGCCTAGCTAACGCTATCGTTGCTATCTTCGCCTACAGAACCCGTCAGCTGAAAACAGAAAGAACAGAAACGGTTTAGCAAAAAAAAACAACCATTTTTTCCAAAGCCTAAATTAGTTTGTAACTTGTCTTTTATAACTTAAAGAACAAATAATTTGACACTTAACAGTCTGATACTGGTGTATAAGCTGTTTTTCATGATTAAAGTAGTTTAATCCTCCCTGCTTTCTTGTTTATCAAAGTTTATTCCAACATTAAAACGCTTTCTTTATTTCCTCATTAGTGTGACAAGCGCCACTTTTTGGGTTTAGGTTCGTTATAACAGGGCCGCAGTGTGTTTGCAGTGCTGTTGATCCCTAGGTCCGGTTGCTGAAGAGACTGGAAGACTTTTTCTACCCTCTAATTACTCCAAGCTGTCGCTTTGAAGGTTACACCCCCAAAATGTAAAAATTATTCACTGATGCTCAGATTCAAACGTTGTGCTGCTGTTTGCATATTTTTCATGCATTACGCCCACAAAAAAAATTTAAAAGGAAATGTTTCAGTTAAGTTTGTCGTATTGAAGTCTTTATTTTGGAAAAAAAGGAGATAAACTTCCCCATCGTAAACATTTTCTTATACAGTATACTGTAAGTGCAGAATCATTTCTTTTTTTTTGTTGTTGTTTTCATATAAAAATCTTATATTTTAAACGTATAAAAAGCGACACAAGGCAATTTTGTCAGTGTTATGGAAGGCAAGTTGCCAAAATCGTTCTATGCTAATTTATTAATCTACAACTCCTTTGTTCATTTTCTATAATATACGTGCAATAATACCTCTAACCTAAAACTAGCTCTACATATAAAGTGTGCGACTATGTTGTGCACGTGTAGTGGTAACCTTTGGAATTACAAACTGTTGTTTGAGTACACAAACGATATAAAAACAAAAAGAGAGTTCAGTTCTATTTATGAAACTCAGAGAAGCAACCTCCTCTACATAGGTGGACGTTGCATATCTTGCAGCCGAATACGCTTTCATGTCGCAGGCCCTTGTTTGTACAGTTCCTGCAACGACGGGAGCGCTCCGACATGCGCTCGAGCCGGTGCCCATACTCGATGGGTGAATCTGCATGTCTTTTGCGCGCTGCCCGCTCCATGCCCCTTGCCCCTTGATAGTCTCCGATCAGCTGCTGCGCCAGGCGCACACGAAAGTGGCGCTGTGTGAACTGCTTGCCGTTGAAGCCCGCCGGCGGTGCACCCCCTCGACTCTCCCTTGTGATTATGTATGCATTGACGATGCACAGGTTGACGTAGAACCACAGGAAGTAGCGCCACCACTTCTTGCATGGCCTCCCAACCTGGTAGCACTCCCTCAGCTGGTCGAACAAATCCACACCCCGCATGTTCTCCTGGTATAGCAGCAGGGGCAAAGGTCGTGGTACTCCAAAGGACAGACTTGAGCTGTCCAAGCTGTCACTCTCGCCCTCTCCATAAGCATCCTGCTGCTGATGATGGCCCGGACTGATGCCCACGATTCCAGGGGCAGAGTTGGTGGAGAGGAAGCTGACCATCTTCACATCTCGTGTCACCGTAGCAACCAGGTTGCCTCGTTGGCATTGATAAAACTCACCCTGGCACAGCTTTCCAACATTGCGAGGCCGGAGGACTTCGGGGTAACCTTTACGCCCCGGCTGAGTGGGCCCACATGCGTACAACCTGTCCCTCAGCAGCCTCTGGAGGAGAGGCACTGAGGTGAAGAAGCTGTCCATGAAGAGATGGTGGTGCTGGCCCTCCAGGCCACGCACGAGGGAGGTCACCACCCTGTAGCCCAGGGAGAGCGCCATCTTGTCTTCGCTTGGCTTACCTACATAAATCTTGGTCCGGTGGCAGTACCCCGAGCGGGAGTCACACAACATCCACACTGTCAGCCCTTTCCTCAGAGGCTTGGAGGACATGTCCTGGTTGGGGGAGAAATGTCTCTTTGTGACAATGGCACACTTGTCTATGGTCAAACAGCGGTTGGGCATGTACGCGTCCCACATTGTGTTCTCCACCACATCAAGGAAAGGTCTGATCTTGAAGAGGCCGTCATATCCACGCTCTCCTCGTGCTGGCTCTGACTCACGGTCACACAGCTGCAGATACTGAGTGAGTTTTTCAAAGCGCCTGGCCGTCATTGTCTTCTTAAAGCCCGCATTCCCAATAAAAATGTCACTGGCCCAGTACATCCCAGTGTCAGGAAGCTGATTTATGCCCATCAGGATGTTCAGACCCACATAAGCTTTCATCTCTCTGACATCAGTGGGGTGCCAATGGGGGTCTGACTTCCCGCTCCTCCTTTGCCGATAGAGGGCGTAACTGTTTGTTTGTTCCACCATGTGTTCAAAAAGAGAATCTGGGAAGAGTATCCGGAAATAGTCACGGGTGTCAGCTTCATCCCCCAGCGAGTGCTGCGGGCCACACACGGATGCGAAGGGCTCGATTGAAATGTCCTGGTCTGGTTCACCCCAGAAGTCGGGAGCAGTGCAGTCCTGGTCCGGGTCCTCGTCAAGGCTGAAAAAGCTCCTGCGCTCCTCCTCCTCCGCTTCCAAATCGGAGAAATCAATATCCGAGTCGTTGGAGTTGGTGTCCGAGCAGTTGGTGGAATAATCGGCGTAGTCCTCGTCGTCGTGCGTGACGATCCCGTTCGTGGCGCTGCCGGTCACCACGATTATGTTGCAGCCGCCTCCTGCCAGGAAGCTGGCCGCGTCTGCAGCCTCCGCCGCGCCGCCGCGTCCATTCTCCCCCTCCTCGCCGTCCTCCGCCTCCCCTGCTTCTCCCTCGTCTTCCTCGTCCGAGTCCGGCTTCATTCTGTCGGCGATCTCAAACCACTTCACATCGGCTGAAAGGTTAAGCGGGGAGTCCCGGTCGTGGCGCTCCGTGCCACTTTCTGCGTCCGCGTTAGTTTCCAAAATAGTAAAAAGCTCTCTCCCTTTTCTTGCCGTCGCCATGTCGGGGTATTAAAGTGCCCCTGCATGAGTCTTTTTTTTTTTTCTTTCTCTCTTCTCGAGTGTGTGTATATTTCTCAGCGTGTTAGAATAGTCACTCAAAATAAACTGATGCGCTCTTATCAGCAGCCTCCTGCCCAAAATTAAATACAATTTTTTAAAAAAAAGGGAGACAAACTTGCTGTTCGCAGCTCTATGCGGCGTCTGGAAGGCTGATTCTCATTGTTTCCGCTCCTGGGCTTTTTCTGGGCTTTGTAGCGCAGTGTGGCCGCAGACGTCAGAAGCTGCATGCATGTCCTGCTTTGTAGGGCGTTTTGCGACTGCAGCTGGTGGTGGAGCTGCTGCTGCTGCTGCTGCTGCTGCTGCTGGGGCTGCCAGATGGCCGCTCGCTGTTCTAATGCCCGCTGGCATCCGCCGCCATCAATAAGCCCACATATACACAAACCACACTTTGTCACTCAACCTGCAAAAAACACGACTTACTGTCAATCATGTGTCAAACTTGGAACTTTTGACAAAACTTTATTCAAGTCACTTTTGAACGCATCACACATGGATCCACATGACTGCTCACTGTTTCTCTCTGTTGCTGCTTTCCTGACTTCTGACTGAGCTCATTCATTCATAAACATGCGTCCTCCCTCTTGACAGGTTGCTACATGGCTCTGAAGCCCTATAGGCTATTGTAGAATGAGGGACCTCCCTCTTATTTATGAATGTGGGCAGATTAGGTGTTGAGGGCTCCACTTGATCAGAGGCACTGGATCTATGGAAGTAATGTGGTCTCAAAAACTGCAGCTTGCTGCTACAGACACACGTGACAACAAACTAGAGATAACATCACGTTGCTGAGATTTGCTCATGGTAAATATGAGCTGTTAAAGCTAAAAACAGCAAACCACTGGCTAAAAGTGGCAAAACACCAGCTGAAAGTAGCAAAGCATTAGCTAAAAGGAGCAAAACACTAACTAAAAGCTAAAATAATAAAAGACTAGGTAAAAGTGAAAAGCAAACTAGTTCAAAGCTAAAAAGGGCAAAATGCTAGCTGAAACCAATAAAAGGCTAGCTAAAAGTAGCAAAACTTTAGCTAAAAGCTAAAATACTAAAAGGCTAGCTAAGAGCTAAAAGAAGCAAAATAGTAGTTTAAAGCTAAAAGGGGTAAAATTTTAGCAAAAACCAACAAAATGATGGCTAAAGGTAGCAAAACACTAGCTAAAATAATAAAAGACCAGCTAAAAGAATTCAGTTTATTCATATAGTCACAACAGAAGTCATCTCAGGGCACTGAACAGAAACATTCATATATAGAAATAATAATTTAACATTATTTATCTGAGGAGCAGACTGCTTTGAATTTAACTCCATCGCAGGACTCTCATCTTGAGCAAGCATGAAGGTGACAGTGGAAAGGAAAAACTCTCTCATGAGGAAGAAACCTTTAGCTCAACCAGGCTCAGGACAAGAGGCCATCTGCTTCGACCAGTAGTTCAAAGCTTAAAAAGAGCAAAGTGCTAGCTAAAAACCAACAAAAGACTAGCCTAAAGCAGCAAATTAGTAGCTTGAAGCTAAAACTGGCAAAAGTGTTGCTAAAAGACGCTAAAGACAAACTAAAATGAGCAAAATGCTAACTAACAAGAAGAAGTTAGTCAAGCGTATGCTAATGGAACAAAACATAGCAAAAAGTTAGCTAAAAGCAAAAACACAAGCTAAAAGTAGCAAATAGCTAAACTCTAACAAGAGCTATCTAAAAGCAAATAGTAGAATTTTGACTAAAATAGCAAAAAGCTAGCTATATACTAAATGCATCAGAAAGGAAGTTAAATGCAGCAAAATGCTAAATAAAAGTAGCAGAGCTTTGGCTAAAAACTAAACAATAAAAAGCCAAAAATGGGGAAAGTATGCAGATTTAAAACAAAACAAAGTTTTTAGATGAATTCAATAAACTTTCATGTCTTTCTATGGGGAAATATATGTAAATATTTATTTAGAAACGTGTAAAAAAACACAAATATCAAAAGTTATAGCACCCATCTCCTGAATTACCTAATGGTTTTGATACACCATATAAATGGCAAAAAAACCCAGAACGGGTTAGATTGCAAAAACATACATAAATAAAATAAAAAAATAGGAAAACAAATATTTTGCAGGAGCCTGATTTTTTTTAATATACAAAATAATAAAATAAGCATCCAAGTTCTGTTACATTTGACTCAGATCACTTTACTTACTTAGTGAATATGAAAACCAATGTTTGCATTTCTTATTGCCACCATTAATGATAAATGGGCAACAATGTTTTGGTCCGTGTGTGTGTGTGTGTGGGGGGGGGGGGGGGTATTAGGCTGTGAAACTTTAATGAAAATTACAAAATCATTGAATGTTCACCTACAATGGAACAACCTTTGGAGTCCACTGAAATAAAGATGGCTGCTGCAGATAAATGACCTTAAACACACAAAACGCTGCTATAAATCCGTCAGTTTTACAAACGCTAAAATTTAAAGTAAACAGCTGACGTATTCACTCTGAGCATGACACCTCGCATGAGATTGCATCATTTAGCTGATGTCAGACTAAAACTTTGGCGAGGAATGCTCGGCATTTCAAGGAATGCTAGGCCTTTACTTCTGAAGCAGCTTTCTCTTTAATTTGAAAACAGGTCTTTTTAAGGACATGTTTGTTTGCGTGGCTCCGGAATGACTTTAATAGTTTCATCAAATGTAAGCAGATTGTTATGGTGTAATTACTCAAACTGATCACAACCAAGGGCAGAACTGCAAAATTAAACGTAAACTGAGCCTAAAAAAAAGGAAATTTCTGTTGCTAGAAACCTCAGCTGCTTCAAGGGAGAGCAGTGTGTTTCCGTATGGGGGAAGGGCTGCAGGAAGGGCCTTTTTCAAATTCTTTCAGCTGCGGCCTGAGCCTGCATGGCTGGCTGAGCACTGGGCTGCTGCCCCTGGGCCGTGCAGCCGAGGAACAATTTCTGTGTCCTTACCGCACAGACTCTCGTTGTCTCAGCAGGATCATGTTGCCGCTGCGAGCTCTGTGGGCCTCGCTACTGTTTCTTTTTTACAGAGGAGCCACTGAACTGGGAACCAGTACGCTAACAAACAGTGGAAAATAATGGAGGCTGAAGACCTTGAATATGCTGCCCAAAAATAGAAGTAAATGGTGGTGGTGGGGGGGAGAAAAGGCTCACTCTAGCGTTTTCAGGCGCCTGGAGCAGAGTGCTGCAGCAGACCCCTCTGAGACTCCCGTGGTGGGGTGGAGAGACGTCAACCAATGGGGGCTCAGTGGTTCAGTGTGTGCGCGTGCGGCAAACTCAGCTCAGATCTCTTCCTTGTGGATGGAGTCTGCGTGTGAGCATGCGAGCCAGTGGTGCAGCCACTGCAGCCCTGGCTAAAGACAGACCACCTCATGGCTCTGAACATTCTCTGAGATGATGTTTCTGTGTGTGTGTGTGTGGCGGGGGGGGGGGGGGGGGTCCTATGTGAGTGAGGGTGAGTGGCTTATTAATAATGATGTCCCTCTCTTTCCCACTGCCAGCAGCATCCTTGGTCCCAACTGATGTAGTTGGAGTTAAGGAAACAGAATCGTGAACAGCGCGGTGGCGTTCTGAGTGAACGAGTCATTTGCTCATTGACTGGGCCAGTTGTGTACAAAACCAGCTAAAGGATCCAGTAGAACCACAATAATCTGTAGTGGGGTCCGAGTAAACACACGTACATTTTCAGGCTGACACTCATTTGCATCATCACAGAGAATTCTGTAAAGTTTTGCTTCATCATGAAAGGGTTTAGTGGAGCTGCGTGGTAGATTTATAGTTACCTGCCTGAACCTTAAGGTCATTATGTGTAATGCTGACCTTGAGGAGAACTCACCTGATGCCCCCCCACCACCACCACCCTGCATGCTACAGTGACACACTGGCCTCTTGTGGTGGTTTGAGAGAAGTAACCAGTCAGAGCTTGATAAACATTAATTTAAGGCCAAAATAATGTATTTTGTTCATGCGTGTGTTTGTTTGACAGTTGTGTTAGCAAAATCTTGTTGGATAAGTAGCTGAGAGTTGACACAAAATCTGATTACGATGTTATTACATAAGAGATTCATTATGAGATGATTTTAGTCTTAAACTATGGCATAAGATGGCGGGCGATATGCATTCTTTCAATTCTTGCTGCAATTTTACTTTGTCCAAATTTAGTTAGGCTCAAATTGTTAATTTGATGTATTGATGTGGAATAATTATAATAATAATAAAAACATTTCTTATCCGTTTTTTTCTGTTTTAATATACAGACGATACAGAGCAATTAAAAAATTAGATGGTAGATGAAGAATAAAATTATACGAATAAAGAAATAATCTATGTAAATCTAATGTGATGCTCAGAGCTGAACGACTGCTGAAATTTGCTCATGTTTAAACTGAGCTGTTAAAGTGAAAATAAGTAGGACAGCAGCTAAAAGCTAAAACAAGCAAAACTCTAGCTAAAAAAACATCAAAGTTCATGCTCAATCATCCAGGTAGAAAATCCAACAAAGTTCAGTTAGGTCATCTGGATGGTTTCTTTTTGTTTTTGTTGAGACGTTTAGTCCTTCATCCAAAGGACTTCATCAGTCCGAGGAGCCACAAGAAACTCTGTCCCACAAGCGGCACACTCATGGACCAACCAGTTTGATGGTGATAAGATGGTTTCTGGGGCTCGCCCTCTCCCCCGTCGACTCCTCTGAGGCAGTCGTAGCCAAAATGGTTAAAAACTAGCTAAAAAGTGAATGTAGCAAAAAGCTAGCTAAAAGCCAAAAGTACCAAAACATTAGCTAAAGTTAGTTAAAAGAAGCAAAATGTTGGCTAGTAGCTAAAAATACTAAAATGCTAGCTAGTCATTCAAACTTTATTTAGACAGCTAACAGCTACATGTAGCAAAACTAGCTAAAAGTTTAAACTAGTAAAGGTCTAGCTCAAAACGAAACAAAGCTGAGTGGTAGCTCAAAGAT